AAACACAACTTGAATGATGATGCCGTGGTTGGCGATCTTCTTGTATTTTACTTGACAGGAGTGCATGGGCTTCCCTCATTTTCTTGTTGACCTTCTTGTTCATCAAATTAAATTTTTGTTAACGTAGTTTGGATGCTCGGAGACTTGATTGTGGATTGCATGTCTTCTACTTGAATGCCTTTGATCTTCAAGAACACCTTCAAATCTTTAAATCTTCAAGAATTCTTTGAATCTCCTCAAGAGAATTCTTGCTAGCTCTTGAACTTGAGACTTGAGCTATGACTTATGAGGTGTGTTTTTTTGGCTTTAGGGAGAGCTTCTATTTATAGGTCGAGAATATAGAATCCTACCAAAATTGCTTTGCGAAGGGTGCAATGTGATTGCTCCTTTAAGATTTGATATGACCCATTTCTGAAATCCTAAGATTTGACTTGGTAAACGAGAAAGCTAGTTATTTTTTTAATTAAATATGTTATTTATGTTGAATTTAGGTCCAAAAATAAAAAAATAAAAAAATATATAAATTTCAATGTCTACACCCAGACCCTAATTAGTTTATCTTCCAGGCGCTGTCTCTACACATGAGGCGAGTGCCTTTCCCAAGGCCCCTTGTTACATCTATTTTAGTGGCGCCCAGGCCTTGCCTCGCAATGCCTCATGCCATGTGCTACCTTCTTAATCAATGTGTACCTAATCGCATTTCGCTCATGCTTTGGAATTAATGCATTGTGAATAGTTTTAGTAGAATTGTGATTTTATAAACTAATCTTTCTTTACCTTTCGGGTTTCATCAATGTCCTAATAAAATTTGTGGAATTGGCTCTGTGCTTACTGGGTCGCTCTCTTTTTAATTGCAGGGTACTGGTCGATATGATGTTGGAGAAGCTGGTGTTGGAGCAGGTATGGTATCCTCTTTTAGATGCTAAGAAATTTACCCATTTTCATGGGGAGAATAGAAGGAATTATTGTTCTGAAAAAAAAAAGCATTTAATATTTTTTAAGGTTGTGATTGGATATACGGTTTTTCAGAAAATAACATAGAGATGGAAAAGTGAAAATATTTATATTTTAGAAAAAAGTGAGATAGATTTTTAGATTGAATGGATATAAGAACAATAAAGATAATATGATGTAAAAACATAAGATTGATAGTTACAAATATGTGAATGTACGAATAGTATTTTTTGATGGAAAATATACAATAATTATTGTTTTTATTTTTTTCATGTGTTAATGTGATTGTAGAGAAAAAAAAGTGAGACGAAATGAACAATATTTTTGTGGAATTCTTTTGTTTCATTCTCAACTTCAATGAGATGAATCTTGACCGAGCAGACAAAAATGAAAAAAAGAATCATATTCAATCGCTACCTGAATGCATTAGCTTGGTTGTTTAAAATTTCTAGTATTGTTTGGCATTCCATTGGCCCTTCATATTTTATACCCTCGAATTTATCACACAAGATGTTTGACGACTGTATTGTTAGATTATATACAAGTTCACTGAATGTTCAAAATCAACGGCGCTGCCTCCATATCTCCTGTCTTTTCCCTTCATTGCTCTGATGTTTGAGTTAGTATTTGGATGCTGCATGGTATTTTGTCTGTATATTATCAGTCCACAGTACTTCGTGTATTAACCGTCCACCCTTTTCTTCCTGATTGTGGTCGGTCAAGTGTATATTGAAGATCGTTGCACTTAATGTGAGACTTATAAATAAAGGACAAAATGAAACCTGAAATCTCACATAGTTGTGATGTTTCTTCTGATTATCTTTGCAGAATCTTAGTTTAAAAGAGCATTAGTTGGTCTCCTTAAAAATATATGTAAAATATGTGTCTCCTCTCTGTTGTTTAATTTAGGTTTTGTTTTGTCAAATCTCAAATTTCATCTTATCTGTAGCACCTTTAAAGGCCCCTAAGTGGTACAAGCGAAAAGCTGGAGTTTCATTTGGTTTTGGAGGAAAGCTTGTATCATTCCATTCTGAATCTCCTGCTGGAATTTCTGAGGTACAATGAGGGACTTATATTGTGGATTGCCTCTTATAATGTACACGTCGTAACTATTTTTATCATTTTCAGGTTTTTGTGCACAATTTAGTTACTGAACATGGTTTGATTAGCCGATCCTCCGAATTTGAAGCTGCTATACAAAATGGGGACAGATCAGCAATTAAACTTTTGTGCGAAAGGAAATCTCAAGAATCTGAGTATGTTTTCTTTATTCCATAGCACCCCCTTCCAGATGAAGTAAGCTGTTATAACATGCATGGTTGTAGCCAGAACTTTTCTGTAACCTATTATTTCTTGCCAGATCTGAGGAGGAGAGGGAAACATGGGGCTTCATGAAAGTTATGTTTAATGAGGATGGGACTGCAAGGTCCAAGCTGCTTTCTCATCTTGGTTTCAGCACGCCTGATGAAGAAAGCGATACTTTAAACAATGATGTTTCCGAGCAGGTAAATACTCTTGGTCATGATGAGAGTACAACTATTGGAGAAGGAGCTTCTGGGTATCGAGTATCTGCCCTTGTTGCAACTGATAACGGAGAGGATTTCTTTGACAATCTTTCAAGTCCCAAGGCAGACACACCAGTTTCCAATTCTAAGAATGAATTTGTTGTTGGAGACTCTGTAAACGAAACCTATCCAGAAACCGACGGACAAGAAGAGATTCCCGATTCTTCATTTGATGATGCTGTTCAACGTGCTTTAATTGTTGGAGACTACAAGGGGGCAGTTGCACAATGCATTTCTGCAAATAGATTGGCGGATGCTCTGGTTATTGCCCATGTAGGTGGTGATTCCTTATGGAATAACACACGTGACCAGTACCTCAAGACAAGTACTACTCCCTACCTAAAGGTAACTCTATCACTTATTAGATTGCCAACTTTGTTAACATTTTTCCTATTCTCTTTGTGAAATTAGTTGATTTCTTGGTGCTGATTTCGACGCTTGTGTGTTGTGCATGTCTGCGTGTCCTTTTTCTTTCTTAAATAATATACTTATTAAATGCTTCAGGTTGTTTCGGCCATGGTGAACAATGACCTAATGAGCATTGCTAACACCAGACCTCTAAAATCATGGAAGGAAACTCTTGCTCTCTTTTGCACCGTAAGTTTGTTCTCTCTTGAAACCGAGTTAAAATATTTTAAATGCTGGTAATGGATAAACTGTACTTTAACGGACTGCTCTTTTATTTACTTGGTATACCATTAGCGTGTGATGCCCCGCCATATTATATCTATATTATTCCTACGCGTTTCTTAGTTTCAGCTAGCGCCATATTTTTTATTTCTTTTGTCCAACTATTCTCCTAGCATAGTGCTAAGAATGGACTAGATCAAAATGGCTCAATTAAATTCTAGTGCTTCTTCTATTAGTGAAGTTTCTAGAAAAAATATATCAAACGACGCAACGCACCTTGGGTCGCTATGGAAACAGCCTCCTTGTATAATTACAAGGGTAAGGTCTGCGTACAACTGACCCCCCAGACCCCAACCTGTTGGCAATATACTGGGTATGTTGATGTTGATGTTGTTGTCCAACTATTTATGCAAATTAATATTTATCATAGTTTCAATGGCACCACCATGGTGAGAGGTTCTAGGGACCATCGGAATTTGCATACTCCTCGCCTGAGGTGGCCCTCACGCTGAGGCAGGTGCCTTGCGGCCGTCATGCGTTTTCCCTCGCCAAAGGCGACGTACAGACGCGCCCCTGGCCCAGGAACCTCCAGTTTTTGAGTGTTTCAGGAAGTACCTTGATAACTTATTGACTTCGTGCTCTCCTTTAACCCTGAATTCACACACCATCGAACATACTAGGGTTATCGCCTTTTCCATTTCTTTTTTCCCTTTTCCGTTTCCATTCTTCCGTATTTCTGCTTTTCCTTAAGGCTTTTCTGTTTATTTTTATTTTTTTTTGTTTTTGCCTTCTCTCTTTTCTTTCTGTGCTTTGTTTCTGCCTTTCATGTTTCCTTTTTTTTCTCGACTTTTTTTGCCGTTTCTCTTTTCTATTTATTTGGACCTGGGCTGGTTTTGGTTTTTGTTTTTGTTTTTGTTTTTTTTTTCCAAATTTTCCTTTTCCAATTTCAGTTTTGTATTTTCTTTCCATTTTTTATCTGTTTATTTTTCTTATTTTAGTTTCTATTTTACTTTTTACTGAATTTATTTATTTTTAATTTATTTTCTATCTCTTGCCCTTAATTTAGTATATATCATTTATGTTTTTAATGTTATGTTTTCTATCCAATTTTATTTGGCGTTTCTGTTTCTATTGTGGTGTTTTATGATATTTCCATTTCAACTTAAATATTGAATGCACTATCTGTATTATTTTTCTACGCTTTGGTACCTTCTGTTGTCGAGGCCTCGCCTCTCGCCTGGTGGCCGTTCCACGGGAAAATCGCCTCGGATCTCCATTTGCCATTTAAAACTGATTATTATTTGCATGTATATATGTGTGATGTGTTGTAATAGTATTACAACACTATTTTTTGTCCAAGCCGAAACAGAGAAACTGTCTAGGTCATGACATGAAATCGTAACATGATCAAAGGTAATGGGATTTAATTTTAAACTTGGCGCCGTCAAAGCTGTCTGTAAATACTGACACTCTTTATTTGCTCTTCCTTTTGTACATTTAAGGTTTAATTTTACTTTAATTGGTTTGCACATACTATCTCTTGATGATAAATAGAATGGACCTGTTCTTTCTCTCTAGAATCTTTAAGTAGTGAGATTAAGGTAACTTGCTGTGTACAAAGAATCATTATTAACATTGTATGCTATGATTCAGTTTGCACAGTCAGAGCAGTGGGCTCAGTTATGCGACACACTTGCTGCTAGACTCATGGCTGCAGGTGATTCTACTGCTGCAACTTTGTGTTACATTTGTGCTGGAAATATAGACAGGACTGTGGAAATCTGGTCGAAGAATTTGGCAAAAGATCAGGATGGAAAGCCTTATGTAGACCGTCTCCAGGTAAGCATGCACCGACTACTACATATTGCTGATGACTTGTGCTAGATGTAATGTAATATGGCCTTACATTTATTTCTTTTTTCTCAAAGGATTTAATGGAGAAGACCATTGTCTTTGCTTTGGCTACCGGACAGAAGCGATTTAGTGCTTCATTATGTAAACTAGTTGAGAAATATGCTGAAATATTAGCAAGTCAAGGGCTTTTAACTACAGCGATGGAGTATTTGAATCTTCTTGGCACAGAGGAATTGTCTACGGAACTTAGTATCTTACGTGATCGCATTTCTCGGTCTACTGAGCAAGGTGCAAATTTATGCAACCTCTTCTGATTTATTTTTGTAATATGTAGCTGAAAAGAGTATGAAATTATGATTTTTGATGTGCCCATCCAGCCATAAACACGCCGAGAAAATGAATGAAAGAAAGAATAAAAAATGATATCAGGGTTGTTTAGACGTAGATTTTGCCAGCTCTATATTTATTTGTGGGATGCACTTACGATGTTTCAAAATATGCTTCATATGAGGTTGAGGTTAAATAATAGTGGCATGGATTTTTGGAATGTAGAAGTGCTTCTGTATCTTGACTGACATCAAATGTTACTGGATTAGTAGAATATTGGAATAGTTCGATTGCCGAGTTCTTCTAAAACGATTTTTTGGATGTTATTTTTCGTTCTTAAAGTAACGTAATTGGAGATTATAATCCTTCTGTCTCCAGCAATGTAACTTAGATGCACTCTGAAGTAGTTGTTGCTCAGGTACAAGCTTGCTTTAAAACCCTAATGTAAATGTTGTACCGTTACCCATCTTTCGTAAATCTTGTTTGAAGTTCACAATTTAACTTCAGTTAATTTGGATAAGAAGGGCAATACTGAATTCGTTGGGAAGTTGTTCTCACACTTGCTCAATCTTTGTGTGAAGTTTGTGATTCTATGTGTGTATATCTGGATTATGAAAATCAAATCCTTTGGAAAGATTATGATCAAAATGTCGACCTAATTAGAATACGAGGTGATGCTATGTTGCCAATTCCCATCCCATTTACACTCTGAGATTTGTTATTCAATTGCAGTCATTCTTTGTGCAATTCCTGTGCCTAAGTTTGTTTGGATAAATTTCTTGATCTATTTTTAGCTTTCATTTAGGCTAATTTTTAGATTCCAATTCCTGTTTTTTGTTCTTTTGATATATAAATATTTACATATAAGCAGAAAAAGAAGTTGAGAGAACAGTGAACAATCAAATGCAAACTGGACCTGCATATGGGGATCAATCGGGTTATGGTGTTGTTGATGCCTCTCAACATTATTATTCGGTATCTCTATCCGATTCCCTGCATCGAAGTGTTTTATCCTTTGCTCACGATCTTGATTCTAGATATTAAATCCTCCTTTTGTTTTCCTAAGAATACAGCACCATCCCAGTTCCAACCAACTGTTCACAGCAGTCCATACGGAGACAATTATCAGCAGCAGCCTGCTGTTACGTATGGAAGGGCTTACAATCCTCCTGCTGCATATCAGGCAACCTCACAGGCCAACACACCTCAGCCATCCATATTTGTCCCTTCCCCGGCACCCCCAGCCCAGACGGTAATATATATTCCCATTTGTTTAGTTTTCAATTTAAGCTGGTCTGCAGGTTTGTCTGGACTAGTAGAGCAACTTTGGAATCTGATTTTGAATTTCATGGAAACACGATTCTTGCAGGGAAGTTTTCCTCCACCTCCTGTTAACACTCAGCCCACTGCGAAATTTGTCCCCACAACACCTCCTTTATTGAAAAATGCAGAGCAATATCAGCAGCCGTCGACTTTGGGTTCCCAGTTGTATCCTGTATGTTATGTTAAACTTGTCTTTTTTCTGTATTTGTTGCAACAATTGACCGAAAGCTCTAAATTTGCTTTAAATCTATGACATAGGGGTCTGTTAATGCTAGCTATCAAGCTGGTCCTCTGGGGGTTCAATCATTTGGTGCCAACACATCTCAGGTTCCAACTCCTGGGCAAAAGGTCTTTGCCCCTACTCAACCAACTGGAGGTTTCATGCCTGTAACTAGTTCAGGGGTACAAAGACAAGGGATGAACCTGGTGCAACCCCCGAGTCCTAATCAGACTGCTTCACTGCAGCCAGCAGCTCCTCCTGCTGCTCCACCTCCTACTGTGCAGACAGTTGATACATCAAATGTACCTGGTAAAAAATCTGTCCCACTCTATGTTTAAGTTGGATTTAATCAGTTGAACTTTGTCGTAATATTATTGATGTTATAATTTATTCTTATTTATTCCTATGTTATTTAGTCTAATTTGAAATATATGTGTCATATGTTTAAATTTTGATAAAATTATTTAAAATTTATAAGATTGTTTATCTATGATTTTCATCTGATCTTGAAGCGTGATTTGCTTCTTCTAGAGCGTGCGTGCATGAGTGCATGCGTGTGATTAGTATTAACTTTAACGGAACAGATATACCTGTACATATATTATATTCTTTAAAAGGAAAATACAATTTTAAAAGAATGATACTGAAATGAATTTTCTTTTTTCAATTCTTGTAGTTAATTTTTATTACCAGTCACATGGCTGGAATCATGCCAGGATTGACAATTTTCATTTATTGAATTTCTGTTTATATGTCCATTGCATATGGAGCTGGAAGAGTCATTGTTGACAATTCTCCTGGCATAGTGCTAATAATGGACTAGATCAAAATGACTCAATTAAATTCTAGTGCTTCTTCTATTAGTGAAGTTTCTAGAAAAAAATATATCAAACGACGCAACGCACCTTGGGTCGTTATGGAAACAGCCTCCTTGTATAATTACAAGGGTAATGTCTGCGTACAACTGACCCCCTGCGTACAACTGACCCCCCAGACCCCAACCTGTTGGGAATATACTGGGTATGTTGATGATGTTGATGATTGAATTTCTGTTTATATTGTTCTATCACGGTCATATTTCTAAATTCATTTATATTGTGTTTAATCATTGGTCTCGAGGTCTAATCTTTATCCTTGTTACTGTTTAATCACTAAAGTCAGTTCACTCTCCAGCTACTAAAACAACTTTTTAATTATGTTATAGCGCAACAGAGGCCTGTTATTGCAACTTTAACAAGACTTTTCAATGAGACAAGTGAAGCATTGGGAGGATCACGTGCAAATCCTGCTAAGAAGCGGGAAATTGAGGATAACTCGAAGAAGTTAGGTTCCCTGTTTGCAAAGCTAAATAGTGGAGATATATCTAAAAATGCTGCAGAAAAGCTTGTTCAACTCTGTCAGGCCCTGGACAATGGTGATTTTGGCACTGCCCTTCAAATCCAGGTACAGGAAGAATCCTCACATAGTAGTAAAATCATTCATGTTATATGTATGCTTGTTGACTAAAAAGTACACCTTTTATGTGATATCTGTAGGTCCTGCTCACGACCAGTGATTGGGATGAATGCAACTTTTGGTTAGCAACACTCAAAAGAATGATCAAGACCAGACAGAATTTCAGATAAAAAATATCATTCAACCCTGTCATGCTTTTGCTTTGGTCCTTAATCCTTTAGGTGTGGAATTATGTTCATGTGATATTTATACACAAGATCTTAATGGGTTGGATAGAGTGTTGGTTTTTGTTTCACTGTTACTTCGACTATTTTTGCACTGTTGTTGTGCCTTGTTAAAATTTCGTTTGAAATCATCAAGCACAGTCCAACCAACCATGATATCGTTCGGAGGATTATGAGTTTTTTCGCCATTTACTTTCGCCACATAGTATATGTAATATTTCAATTTATAGATATTTTATGTTCTCTGTTTTTTCTTTTCTGATATGTGGTGCACTGTTGTAAGTTTCCCCTGCTTTGGAACTTGCTTCATCTTTCTATGAGGCAGGGGGTATATAATTAGATAAATAAAGACGATTTTTATTTCCTTTGCCGTTGTTGCCTTGTCGACTTTTTCATTTAATGTCCTTACTGTTACACTGCACCTTTACATTTTTATGATACCACCTCATCTCTTAAAATTTAAAATTGCTTTCATAATCTCTCCTCTTTCTTTTCTCTCTTGAAGGGTCATTTGTATTGGGGGGCTCTGAATCTCACAATATATGCCTGCAAATTGAAGGTTGCAATTTGTGCTCTTAAACACGCTTCTAAGACATGGTTTGATAAGCTCAGAATGGTCCTTGTTACCTTAGGTTTTATATCATCTCTTGTTGATGCCTCTTTGTTTGTCAAGAAATCCTCCAGTTACATCGTCTACATTATTGCGTATGTGGATGACATGCTTATTACCTGAAGTTCTCCTCTTCAAGTTGACGACACTCTTCATCTTCTTTATAAGGTTTTTCTTCTCACTTTCTTGGTATGGAAATACATCATACACAAGAAGGCATGCTCTTTACCTAACAAATTTACATACAACTGATTTTGTCGAGGGCCGAAATGCATGATCCCAAGAGGCTTTCAAGTCCTATGCCCAGTTTACCAACTTTGTCTAAGTTTGATGGTACTCTTTTTAGTGATAGATTGCTCTACAAGCAGATATGAGTTCAGGGTACGTTGTCCCTGATGTTCTATGGATCAACACATTGCTCAAAGAACTCTATAATCCTCTAACTTGTGCACCAAACATTTGAGTCGACAACATAGCTGCAGTTTTCATGTCATACATCCAATTATTCAAAGAAGAACTAAAAATATTGATGTTGATCTTCATTTTATTCAAGAAATAAAGGTTATAAACAAATCCATTTCACTATTGGATGGTCCAACAATGGATGAAGCTGCAAATGACTTCACTAAGCCATTGATCGACCAATTCTTCACTCGCATGGGGAACAAGTTGCATGTTCTTCTTCTCAAACTCCCTCAAGTTGAGGGTAGATGTCGGAAAATAAATATACAATAATGTATTTGCACACGTACATATTTAACGAGACGAACTATAGAAAATTATATAAAAAAATTCTTTTCGAGCCGAACGAGCTTTAAATGAGTTCGAAACTGGTTAATTTATCAAACAAGCCGAGCCGAACTTGAGACTTAACGAGTCGAACTCGAGTCAAGCTCGTTAATTTAACAGCACTAGGTTGCGTCTTAACTCGGTTCAGTTGGATAAATAATGTTTATGTTCGTTATCGAATCGAAGCCAATCGGAGAAAGTGATCTCCATAAAAGTTATAGGTAGGAAGCAAAGTGAATTTTGAAAAAAAGGAGTGGACGTACAAACTTAAGACAAAAATCTCCAGTTTTACAATTTTCCATAATCTCTCTCTCTCTCTCTCTCTCTCTCTCTCTCTCTCTCTCATTGGTTTGCTCAACGTCAATTTCATACAGTTTTTGAATCCTGATGAATTATCTCTCCTGTACATCGCAATCATCGATCTCCACCGCCGATTCCCATGCCAAATCCTCATCCCAGCCCAAGAACAAAAGAGACGACACAAAACCCATCAAAATCACGGAGTTCGACTACACAGATCTCGAGCTAGCCACCAGCAATTTCTCCGATTCCAAGCTCCTCGGCCGCGGCAGCCATGGCCTCGTCTATAAAGGCGTTCTCCGCGGAGGCCGCCTCGTCGCCGTCAAGAAACCCTCACAAAAAACCCCAGTCTCCCAAACCCCTAACGAATTCGAAAATGAAATCGATATCTTATCCAAGCTCCAGAGCCCCAAAATCGTCAATCTCGTTGGGTTCACCAAGAAAGAATCAAGAGATCGCCTTCTGGTGGTTGAATTCATGAGCAGAGGAACTTTATTTGATGTCTTGCACTCGAACCCTAGGCCCCTCTCCTGGGGAAGGAGGGTAAAATTGGCTTTGCAAACCGCGAGAGCCATTGAAACCCTGCATTCCTCAAACCCACCCGTAATTCACCGTGATATCAAGTCAGCTAATGTTTTGATCGACAGCAATTTCAATGCTAGATTGGGTGATTTCGGTTTGGCTTTGCGGATTGGGGATGATTACAGATTCAAATCGACTCCTCCAGCTGGAACAATGGGTTATTTGGATCCGTGTTACGTGACGCCTGATAATCTGAGCACGAAGACGGACGTATTCAGTTTTGGGATACTTCTTCTGGAGATCATTAGCGGTAGAAAGGCTCTCGACATGGGGAATTCTCCGCCATCGGTCGTTGATTGGGCTATTCCCCTGATAAAGAAAGGAAAATTGTCGTCTGTGTACGATCTTAGGGTTTTTCCACCTAGGAATGATACGGTTCGGAAAATGCTGGGGGTTTTGGCTGCTAAGTGCGTGAGGCCGTGTAAAGAGAGAAGGCCGTCGATGAGGCAGGTGGTGGAGTGCCTGGCCGAGCTGAGTCGATTGCTCCCTTTGCATTCTTGGAGTGGTTTGGCCAATCCTTGTATGATGGTTGAGAATGTGGGGAGGCCAGTTCAGACAAGAAAGGTGGAAAACGAGAATCTGGATAATGATGGGGGTGAGAATAATGGGGGACTGTTGAGAAATGGAGGAAGAGTGTACTCGGATTTGGGGTTTAGGAGGAATTTGAGGGAGTTGTTGGACGGCCATGATGACGGGTCAGACAAGCGTGGGGAGGATGGTAAACGGGTGTCGAGTTTGAGATTTGAAATTGGTAGGTTGGCCGATGTTCGCTCGGTCGTTTTCGGCGATGGTAAAAGTATTAAGTCGAGGGAATCTGTCGGTGTGGGTTTGGACAAATTTTCCAAACTGGTTGATAAGATTAATACTGGATCCAATGTGGAGTTGGACATGGCAACATAAAAAACAGTGCTGCAGATTCTTTAATTCCTTGTTGTTCTTTATTCTTTTTAGAAGCAAAAACAGGTAATTGTGGGTTGCTCTTTGTTTGCGAATTGCTGTAGGTGCTCGAGACATTTGATCGATTGTGTAGAGTTGTCAGCCATCCAGAATTGTTCGGTGCACCGCTGGTGCAATAGTTGCGCATTCTTCATTGCTTCAAACAAAGGAATGGAGTGCATAAGACATTTGTTTGTGCTTGTACAATGTGTTCAGTTCCCTGTCATTTGTTATTTTACATATAGTGAATTTGATTTCCAATTGCAAGTTATGTATCTCTGCACATGTTGATTTTATTATTTGGGTGCTGATTGTTTACTGTAATGGTTGCCGGTGGGGAGCTATTGTTTTATATGCAGAATCATCACTTGAATTCTTGGCAGCTTGTGTGTTGTGATATCTTGGGTAGTCCTCCCATTCCGGCTAGTGAGCCGGTTGTAATTACGTGTTTAGTGATATCTTGGGTAGTCCTCCCATTCTCGGATGCCGGGCTGTGCAGGAGGGAGCTCGCCGGAGGTGGAGTAAGTGATTTCCGGGCGGTGGAAACTCGCTCGTGCTGGAAAATCGCGAAAGCTCGGCCGCCGTGGAAATCGAACATCCCGCGGGGGTGCAGAAGGTTCGGAGGAGATGCCGTCGAGGAGCTCAGTCGCCGCTAACGCCGGAGTTGCAGGGTCGCCGGAAATTGCAGATGGAAACACTGGATGGAAGAAGTTGCGGGAGCTGTGGGTTGGGTTAGGAGAGAGAGAGACGATTGGGACTTAGGGTTTGAGAGTGGGAAAGTGTTGACTCTTTCGTCTCTTCTTTTTTACCTCGCGAATTTCATCCAGCTCGCGAAACAGAATTCGAGCCTGCGAATTTTCGTGTCTGTCCAAGCCTTGTAACTCAGCGAATTTTCACAGCTCGCGAACGTGGATTAGAGCCCGCGAATTTTAGCCTCAGTCCAAGTATCTTTCCTCGCGAATTTTCACATGCCTGCGAATTTGGAATTCTAGCCCGCGAGTTTTAGCTGCTGTCCAAAAATGTGACCTAGCGAAAATTCTATAGCTAGCGAATTCGAATTTCGAGCCCTCGAATTCCTGGCACTTCAACACTTAGGCATATTTCACTACTTTTCAATCTCAATTTTCAACTCAACTTTCGAACACAATTTTTGCTCGATTCCCGGGATATTTTTTTCTTTTATTATTATTATTTTTTTGGCTCGACTCTAACAAGTCGGTACTGCCGAGCAGGTCGACACGAGCACTTCTCATTAATTTCCATACTTAACTCAAATTTTCCACACTTCGCCATATTCCAACCCAAATTTCAACAAAAGCTCGGCTCCGAGTCTCGTTTCCTTCTCCAAAAATACCGTGTGTCGTGTGCTTTGCGGGGCTATTTATTTCCAAACGAAAATGAAAAACGAGAAAATGCAATAACCGCGGGTTGCCTCCCACGAAACGCTCAATTTAAGGTCTTGAGCTCGACGTCCCCAACAAAAATCAACCGGGATCTAGAAAAAAATGACGATCATGTCACGCCTTTGTATTTTTCAAGAGAAGTCCCGACGGTAGTACGGAACAAAGGCGGGCAAGGTAAGCTCTCGTGGCCGAATTCTTGTGAAACCGAGCACGGATATCAACAACCACCAAGAGAAGAAATGATTTTTTACGAATCGAGGCCCCATACTCGACCTCCGAAAATATAAAAATATCCGTAGAGCACGTCGAATCAATCCCGGGCATCATTTGAATTATCTCGAAGGTGTACTCATCAAGCTCAAGCATCGGGAGTACGGGCGTAGGCACACTAAACTCCTCCAAATGGTCACGGTCCTCAACAATACGAAACAATGACCCAAATAACATAGGAATCACCTTATACTCAACATCACAAGTCGACTCATCAATCAACACACACCTCGGGTCAACGACATCACATAATAGCTCGGAATCCTCCTCAACAACATCCACAACATCATGAACTACTACATCATCCACTTCAATATCATCCTCCCGAGCACTATCAACATCGCTAAACACAATCGAATCCTCCAATAAATTTTCTCCTAACCCATCCACTATGTCAACACCCGAATCCATGCTCCCATCCTCAATAATCGAATCAAAGCTCATAGCACCATCAATGAAAGAGAAATTTGACGTACCTTTCGTAGATTGCAAGTCCGAGTTGTCAAGAGGGGGAATTTCAATGACAATCAAATCGTCGATGTCCTCACTCGTGTCGAGAGATTGTGTTCCATCATAAACGAGAGTGAGGCCCACCTCTTTCAAGGAGGCAAACCTATCCACCATAGCTCGAAACTCGCCTTCTAACCGGATGCTCTCTCGAATAACCCTCGCCGTAGAGAACAATATCTACCGAGCGAAATGTGAGATGCGTCCAAATCGAGGAAAGAGACCACGGTAGAGTCGAACTTCTCAAGTGTAGCTTGAAGAACAGATGGAATCGGAATGCATCTCCAACTATGAAACTCCTCAATGATCGACATGAGGCTCGCAAGTGCCTCTTGAGTGCTCGTCAAAACCTCTTGGTGACGTTCGGAAGGCGCAACCGTGGTTGGAATTGAAGCTCCAGAACTCGAGGTACAAGGTTGGCCAACCGATAGGTGCTCCAATGATAGAGAGGATGTAGCAAGGGACTCGGTTTCTTCCTTTTTGTGTATGGGAGCCATTGAAGCACGAAAGGATCGATTGCACTCCTCTAAATGCTCCATAATCTCGGCTAGATTGACTCGAGAAGCTTCCCGAGTTGGCTCGGATGGAGGTGTCTCTTCATAATAAACGGGAGGTGGCGGATAATAGTGAGGCGTCTCGTCGTGACCCGAAGAATAATAACCAAAATCAACTTGCGATGACGGGTAAGAAGAGCTCGGATACGGATAGGGCGGCCCTCCATACGAGTACATCTCCTCATGATAGTTGTCGGGGCATCCACGAGATGAGCTACCGGCATAAGCATAGCCATAAGGATCCATCGGAGCTCCTCAAGCGAAATACCTCGCACAAGAAAAACAAAACAACCAAGGCACACGAGGCAAAGGAAAGAAAACACAAAACAAAACTAATACGACATGATATATACACGAACACACAAAGCAAAAAGCAAGAAAAATCGAAAAACAAAGCAATAATCAAGAGAAACACGCAAAACCAAGAAAAAACAACACAAAGCAAGAGAAACACGGAAACAAATGACAACTAGATAGTAAACTTGGCGTCCTACTCGCCTTCCCCGGCAACGACGCCATTTGTTTAGTAGAATTTTGGTGGGCAATGGATAACCGAGCTACCCGACTCGGGTCGTTCTCAAAGGAAGGCTATTCGGAGCTTCGGTTACTACCTAGTCGTCAAAGTCACTCAAACGAAAACATCCTAGACATGCTAATCGCTTGGTTTGGGTTGAATTTAAACTAAACTAAACTACTAGTTGAAAGCATGAGGAAGCAAGTAAAGCATGAGCGCATGAGGGAGAAAAGGAGAGAGGGAGAGAGAGAGAGAGAGAGAGAGAGAGAGAGAGATAGAGAGAGCAAGAGAAATCAAGGGGGAAAGAGAGAGATTGGTTCATCGGAGTCATCATGATCAAAAGCACGCAAAAATTCAACCATTGCCATGTTTGCTAAAAACCCTAGAAAGTCAAATCAAACTCTAGCATGAATTGAACAAGAATTCAACTCCTATCACACTTAGTCAAACATTCATGATCCAAAGCAACAATCTTTTCTTCCAAAATCTCAAGCACAACATCAATTTTACCAAAGCAAGAAAGATATACTAGGTAATGGGGCTTAAAACTAAGTTACCCACTCCAACATGCACTCGGGAGAAGAAACGAAATCAAAAGCTTGAAACTTTACTCAAAACAATGTCGCTGGAAGTTCGCCGGAAAACTTGATTCATAAAACTCCAAACCAAAATAAAAATAAAAAGAAAAAGGAAATAGAGAGGATTTTCCCAACTTAAAGTTGGGAAATGAGAGTTGTGTTCCAAAAATACAAAGCCACAAGTCTTTATATAGCTACACCACAAACACACACTAAAACACACACATTTAACAATTTAGCACTCGCTAGGTAGCGAACTAGTTCGCTAGGCGAATTGGTCTTGTGGTCTTGTGCACACTCGCTAGGCGGCGAACGCGTTCGCTAGGCGAACTGGTCTTGTGGGTCTTGTGCACACTCGCTATGCGGCGAACACGTTCGCTAGGCGAACTAGGCTTCTGGATCTCTTGCACATTAATGACTCGATAATGGCTCGAGGGTTCTTGGAATGATTCATGCTCTCGGAACTTGGCTCGATTCTTCTCTTTCATCTTCCAAAATGGACCTAAAAATTGCACCAAAGACACGAGAAAGTACGCCAAAATACAAACACCAAAGAAAAAATGAAAACACACGGAATCAACTAAAATGGACCGGTTAGACAAGTAAACCAACCTAAAACCGACTCAACTACACACATAAAACACATAAAAAGAAGCACAAAAACACAATAAACACTTTTCCTTTTGGTTGTGTGTCTTTTTCTTTTTTTCTCATTTTTTGCTTTCGTTATTTGGTTAGACTTGTGTAGACCTGCGATTTTTTCGGCTCATTTCGTTATTTGGTTAGACTTGTGTAGACCTGTGATTTTTTCGGCTCATTTATGGTCTTGACTACATACAGGTTGTTCGACCTTAATCTCCTTGGGTGTTTCTTTTTTTCTAAAAGATAAAAAATTTAACCAGGCCTATCACAAGTCAAACTTGAATAAACATATCAATATTGAAACACTGGTCTAAATCCTAGAGACGAATAATTCAGATTGCCTTTAGTGAATAAAGATATAATCAGGATTGGAATTTTGAGTAAAAGCATGAAAATTGTAATCTGGATAAGATGGACAAAATTTTTAGAAAAGACAAATAAACATAAGATCGACTTAATTAATTAGTTATTACCAACAAAGATTGACACATGTAGA